CACCAATGTTATCTACAAAAAAACAACATAGTTTAGTACATTTTATTATGAGATATGATTTCCCCACTCCCCTTTTCTCTACTTACACTTCCTTTTGTTTTTTAGTACTTTTTAATCAATTTTGTTATTTCTCTTTCCTATTCTACCATTACCCATTAATTTCATTTTACTTCACTTTTATATTAGTTCTTTTTTTTTTAATACTTAATTTTCCAATTTGCACTCCATTTTCAGTATTTTTTTTTTCCTTTAATCGAGTAAGAAATTAAGTTTTTTTTTTCCCTTTAATACTGAAAATGGAGTGTAAGTTGAAAAATTAAGTACAAAGAAAAAGAAATAATATAAAAGTGAAGTAAAAAAGAAACTAATGTAGGGTAAGGATAGAATAGGAAAGAGAAAGAATAAAATTGATTAAAAAGTATTAAAAAAGAAAAATGGAGTGTAAGTGGAGAAAATGGGAGTGGGGAAATTAGCTCCCTTTATTATAAGAAGAAGTATAAATAACATTAGCATAAATAAACTAATTACTTACAAGTTGTCATATGTTCTATTTCCTTGTATAATTCAGCCTCATCATCCGTGCTTAACCCAGTCTTTTTCACCTATTTCTCTATTTTTTCGGTGGACACATCAGACTTCCTTCTTGCCCTTACAACCATATTTGTGACTTTTTAAAATTATTTTATTCTACATATCATATATTATCAAGTTTCAATTGAGTTAACTCACTTAATTAAAGCTTGTTCAACTTTCTCTTAGTTTTCTATTCACCTATGGTTTGTTTGGGTTCGTGAAATTTTTTATCGTGTTCTCTCCACATATGGTTTGTTTAGGTTTGTGAAATTTTGGATTGTGTTACTTTGGCATCTCTCCACATATATACTTTACTGACAGTAAATTCTTCATTATCATGTATGTAATGTGTGTGTATATATATATACAATTATTCTCTTATTTACACGATATTATTATTGTGAGGATGCTATTGTAAATAAGAAGGAAAGCATGGAGTGATAGTAGAAAATATATGACATATGCACGATATAATAACATCCAAACGTTCGCATAAGAGAATTTCTGTTTATATTTTATATTTATGTCTCTCTTTGAGTGTGTGTTTCCTTCTGTGTTGATGTGTTTATGATGATTGAAGAATTGTGTAAAGGTGTCCCTTACGAGTTTAAATAGATGAGGGTAAAAAGTATGAAAAAGTGTTTGGGTACGTACCAAGTTGATGTATCTTCAGAGGATGGAAGACAAGCAATGGAATATTATTATCGATTGTGCAGTTAGAATTTGATTTATTCAATTTGAACACACACATGACATCCTTAGAAGTTAATGAAAATTTCACAACCTACCGTTGTTGCTTATGGAATCACAATTTCTCCATAGAAAAAGATAAAGTAGGTCAACATCACTTTATTACTTATAAGTAATCTGATATAATTATATGGCTTTTTATCACAAAACGTATTTTGAGGTGGACAAAATTATCAGATTGCGTATTTTTTTGTTTTTTGTTTTTTTGTTTTTTGTCATTCATAGTTGTCAAGGTTAACATGTGTGTTAAGTAGTCTATATCGTGATTTTCGTAAAAAAAAACTCTCTTAATTTGTTGATGTGACACATATATAGAGCCCACATATTCTATAATATAATGCCATATGGATTAAAAATTTAATAGGTCAAAAAAATATAGGAAAATATATATATATATATATAAAATGTACATATTTTCAACAATTAAAATTAATTTAAAATTGAAAAAGAAGAAGAAAAAGATAATATCGTATTCCTTGATTCGGCCCTCAACTTTAACCACACCGGCCATCTCTCAACTTTAAGTATCGTACTAGGGTGGCTGCTTCTTCCATATGAGCAGTTGGGTGAATTAGACACAGTCCAATTTAGCATCTAATCAAAATGACACATCACTTTCTTTGCCCTTGTGATCCCATGTGAACATCCCGCGAACAAGGCAAGTTCCTTCAGCCATAGACTATAGTGAGGCATTCGACCATTTGCCAACCTTCCAAGTCTTTACAAAATTAAATTATGTGCGTCTCTAGTCTCTAACATATTTGAAACTCACATAAGGGTGACATGAGCAAACTAATATATTTAGTGAAGGAAAGTCATATCATGGACTACTTGTTGTGACCACGTATATTAACCCTAGAAAAATGCTTACCTTATTTTCTAGAATGTCAATCACAGTTTGATACGTGTGTAAAGATTTTTTTTATTTTTTTTGGTTGTTGGTATTTTTGATGAATTATTTTTGCGTATGTGTTAAATTATGATTTGCAGGAAATATGAATGCCTCATTCCCAAAAAAGAAGGAAGCAATGTTATAACCTTAAGAACTATGAATAATATTATTTAAAAAAAATACGTAACCTGATGATTACATCAATTTCAGAGACATTTTGTAATAAAAATATGAATGACTTAGAATCTTATTGGTTATGGTGTGTAACGTGTTTAGTGAATAAAATGACCTAAAGAAAGCTCTTTTAAGTGATAGTGCTGAAGAATTCTCTAATCAATATTGCGGCTTGAAGCTTTGCTTGCGAGGGACGTCTTCAGAAGTAAATGTAATTTATTGTTTTTATTACCAAATCAGTGTCACATCGTAAACTATAATCAATTGGTCAGTAGTCACCAATGAGTGCCTAGGAAACTCTTTTTTTAAAACTTAATTTCCATCTTCTTTCCCAAGAAATGACGTTCAGAGGGTCCCACCCCGAAAACGGTCCACCGCCACCTATTTTATCCCTTACTGTTTCTCAACCATCACCACCCCTAAATCAGCCCAGTTCCTCTTTCTCTTTCTCCACCTCCAGCTCATATCCCTCCACCATTCACTTCCTCTCTCTCTCCTCCATCTCCACCTCCTCTCTCTCTCTCTTTCTCCTCCCGATCTGGGTTTTCATATCACAGCCTCAAAACCTGCCCTAGATTCGAGCCCTACCACCACCAATCTCCGCCCAGTGCCTTCTCTCCCTCTGTCTCCCTCCAAATCTTC